CTCAAGTTTGTTGTCAAAGATCATTAATAAGATTAAAATCAGCCAACATAAACTCTTGGGGTGGGGAAATCAGTCTTTTTTGGAAAGCCATCACATAGGAACAAGAATAACATTGTCAGGAATACTGTTCTGTGAGTCCTGTAATGGAAACACAGAGTCCCCGAGGCTTCTCCAATCTTTGATGAACATACAGGATGGCTCAGTTTAGTTACAAATGTGTGCCTCGTCCCTTCTCTTCTGACATTTTGAAGGGCACTAGAAACCATTTTCTTTGCTCCTTAGCAGAAATTATGGCAGTCATCTAGGATATTTTAGAAACTGTTTTAAGAGCATTATTAATTACCCTCCCTTCTTCCTCCCCCCCCCCCAAAAAAAAGTGGGTGGAAATTTCTGTGCATCTTATATATAGCGAATATGGGCCCATTTTGGCTTCCCAAAGCCTCTACAGGTCCCGTTTTTGCCCTCCCCAGCACTCAGGCCGGTGTCGGGGAAGCTGAAAACGGGACGTGTGGAGGCCTTCTGAGGCCAAAAAGGGGCGCTTTTTTTGGATTGCAGAGAGCTTCTGGATGCCAGGGAGGGCAAAAACGCAGAGGCAAAAAATGATTACCCCCCCCTTGTTTTCCTCCTCTAAACCAAGGTGCATCTTATAGTCTGGGGCGTCTTATAGTCTGAAAAATATGGTATCTACTATGGTATATACAGAAAGTTTTTAGGTGGAAAGGAAACAAATATTTAATAAATTAATAAAATGTCTATTTAAATCAATTTATTTGTACTAGTGGAAACTGCTCAAACTAATTTTTGCCTGGAATGGTTTTTGACTGGAAATTTCCTTTAGCTTCAATAAAATTCCTGTTATTTTCATATATGCACAGTCAGTCTTCCAGAAAAAGATTGGCAGAAAAAATTCAACTGTCTAAAATAATTAGCAGCCTATATGGATATCTTTCTCATTATTTATATTATCCAGTACTGTTGTGCTGCTGTTCTCCTGTTCTCTTGATGTGATGCTACAGTCAACAAATGTACATCATAAATGCCAATCATATAAAGTGTATCATATATTGTTTATCATATAAACAATTTATGATACATTGAAAAGGACAGATTTTAAATGTTATATATCCCAAATTATATTTCATATAAGGAAGGAAGTAGGACATATATTTTCTGGAAAGTATGCCATGACCATATTCTATTGCCTCTTAATTGCTACCCAAATAAACATGCATGTTAAATTACAGCTGGAGATCTGAATCCAACATCCCATGACTGTCCTTTTCATCTAGCTTTGAGAGTTTCCTTTTTCTGTCCTCTTCCTAAAGCTTTCTCAAATCTCCCTAGGAAAGTTGAGAAGTTTGGGAGGCACCTGAGGGTTTATTTAATGATAAGGATCTTAATTTGAAAACTTTAGTATTGTGTATAACTTAAATTATCTCTGATCATTAAAAGGGCCTTTAATCCAAGAGTATTGTTTTACACACACATGGGGAGATGATAAGCCTAAACAAAACATGGGCTCCCATCATTGTACTATATTGAATATACAGTTTCAGGGCATGGTAGGTTTATGTTGCCAGATGAGAGAACCTTTCTCATCCTGTTATGACTTCAGTGGGAATGGACTATATTAATGAGGAAATGTGCTCTCAGAAAAGACGTTTCAAAGTTTCAGTGTCTAACAACAGGGCTTCAGTGTAATAGGAGTGGGGAGAAGAGGGGGATAGAGGGGGAGAAAGAGAGAAATTAAATCCCAATCCAGTTTCTAGTCAGCCAATTGCCACCTAACAGTTTTGCAATATACTTGAATTATACTTCATTACCTCATGCTAGGACCCCCAATTATGATTTTTTTTTAAACACGGTGGCATATGACTGTACAAAATTGTACAGGGTATGATACTGAATTGGTATAGTAGTCCCTACACTGTATCTGTTAGCATTTTTCCCAGACAAAAAAAAACTGGACTGTTCATACTGTTTGAACACATTTGCTTTCATTTAATGAAGTCATTTTATTGTTGTCCATTTTCAATCCACTAATAACAACTGTAGGACAGGAGGCTGGCACAGTTCAGATAAATCTTATTCAGTTTCATGTACTTGGATGAAAAAGCTCAAACGCATATTGTCAAAATAATTATATAAAACAATTAGATTTTAAGTTCGTTTAGTTTGATATTGATTCAGGCTGCTGGTATTCAAATATGATTCTAATAGTTGTAGTTTCTTAGTAGCTTTATTGCAGTTTATGTTACCACAAGTAAATGATTTGATTGCTTATTGTACCCCATGACTATTATTAAGTGTTGTATCTTGACTCTTGACAAATGTATCTTTTCTTTTATGTACACTGAAAGCATTTGCACCAAGACAAATTCCTTGTGTGTCCAATCACACTTGGCCAATAAAGAATTCTAACTAATTCTAACTAAAACGTATCAAATATGCAATCTGCAGCAGGTTAACAACCTGTTATATCTCATAATACATAATGCTTGGCCAAATCCACTCACCTACTTAAACTATATTTACATCTTTGCTTATGGCATAATTTGGCTTTGAGACTTCACCATAGATAGTCCAGTACTCCAAAGGTGTTGATTATTGTGATGTACAGTGCTGTGGTGTTACATGTTGTTGATTGACACATTGTCTATCATAAGATATACCTCAGGGCAGTTATTATCATTTCTTCACATTGGCCTTCATACTAAATCAAACCCCGCCATCTGGGTGAGTAACACTGCTGTATCTCAATAATGTAAGAGTTTAGTGGAGCAATTCTTTTGAGAACAGAGATCCATACATTTCAAAGGAGCTATTTTCTGCCATTCCTAAATAAGACCCTGTCTCTCTCTCAAAGACTGCTGATTAGCCCTTTAAATGAATCTAAGCATTGTTTTCATGATCAATGAACAAATCTCATCTCTGTTCTGGGCAGGAAGGATCCTGGAACCAAGTTTCTGATTTAAAAAAAAAAGATGAAGACCAGATCCTGCTTTCACATTGAGTTTGAGTTTTATAACTAATTTTATAAATTTACACAAATGTTTAGTCAAAATGTTTTTGGGGAAACTCCAGAGATTTAGAAATGGTTGTGGGATTTACACAATTTTGCTATCCACTAACAACATTGCAAATTGTTAACAGAAGACTTTCCTTACAAAATGCAAAATTGAACTTCTGAGTTTCAGTAGCTGACATTGCTTAGGCATTGGCTGAAGGCAAGAACTCATTGTAAATAGCCTATTAGGCTTACCCAGATTATTTATTGATGTATTTGTTGTACATAAGAATTGCCCATCTCCCTTACAGAAGGACTCCGAGCACTATACAATAAAATATCAAAAGCATAAAAAACAGTATGTAAAATTATTTAAAAGAGGCAAAGAATGTTAAAAATTGATTAAAAAGTGCAGGGAGAGCTTTCAGAGCACCAATTAGCGTGACATTTGTATGCTCATCTGGGTGCCCCAAGAAAAGCCCCAGAACCATGTTTTCATGCCTTTCTGGAAAGCCAGGAGAGGGCGGCCCTGCCTCACCTCCAGGATAAGTGTTCCACAGGGCAGGGACAATGGCAGAGAAGGCTCTCTTTCCTGGACCCTGGCAGTTGGAATTCTTTGGCTGACGAGATCCACAATTTATCTTCCTTGACTGACTAGGTGGGATCAGAATGTGGTGATATTGTGCCACTAGTGAACATGAGGAATGAAAATAGACTCTTCCACAGTGGCTAAGGTTCTGCAAAGCTGTATTTTTTCTATGCTCCTAATGTCTCCTCTTGAAGGGAGTTCTTAGTCTCACCAGTCCTGGAACTGTTACACAATAGTTCCTTCACAGTGAGTTTTATAAATAGTTCTTCCCTCCTCCTGTCCTAGGCACAGAGACCTGACAGGAAATGGCATCTGCCTTCTATCTCTCTGTCGCCGCTATCATACCGCTATCAGGGTAAAGAATTTGAAAATCCAGTGGCTGTTGCAAAAATGCTATTACAAGTGCTTGAAATAACTCTGATTATTTAAATCTCATTACAAATGGATTATTAGATATATCACTTCCTAACTATGTTGTCACTATTGATCTGTCTGAAATAAAATTTGGATATTTCTGAAGAAAGGCATTGCCAAACATATTACTGCATAATTTAAACACCAATCTGAAGGTTGCTTTACTTTGTTGCATAGCAAGATGATATATTTTTAAAAGGGATGATACTCCAAACTATCAGCATTTTCTCTTTTTTTTTAAACAAGTTCAGAGAAAGGTTTTTAAATTCACTTAATTTTTTTACAAAGTGATCCCAAGTGGACTGACCTATAACTAGGGGTGGGCTTCAAAAATTTTAGCGAAGGTTCTCTACCCAGTTGCTGGCTGGGCGTGGCCATCGTAGGCGTTGCTAAGTCGGCCTCCTGCATTTTTGCCCTCCCCGGACTCCAGAGATTTTCCTCGAGCCTCCGGGAGGGCGAAAATAGCCTTCCCGGGCTCTGGAGGCTCTCTGGAAGCCGGAAACAGGCCCATTTCCAACCTTCCTGAACTTCCAAGAGGCCCGTTTTTTGCCCTCCCCGAGCCTCCACGTGTGCCCTGCACTAAAGCTGCAATCCAAAACAGGCTGTGTGGGGACTCCTGGGAGGGGCACGGTGGGGTGGGTGGAGCCAGCCAGGAGTGGGATTTGAGGGTTTTCCAAATTGCACAGAATCTTAGCTAGGGGCTCTCCCAAACCCTTGCAAATCCCCAGCAGCCCACCCCGCCTATTACCAGATATCTTTTAGCTCTATTAGTTGCTATAGACAAGAAAAGTTCGATTAAGTATTACAGAAGCAGATTGAAAACTGGATTTTTTTTTTCCTGAAAGTGGTCTATTGAGTTGAGAAGAACTGGAGTTAAAAGAGAATCATTCAGGTTGAGGCACAATAATGCAATTTGTATTAAAAGACCCTTGAGTTTTCTTCTGTTTCTGGTCATCTTAACCGTAAATTCTTCTCTTTGTTTTCCTGCAGGTATCCTTTAGGTATCACTGTAGATTATACAATGAATGGCGTCGGACCAATCAAAGAGTTATCCTTCTCATCCCAAAGTCTGTCAGCATCCCTTCTACCCAGCAATCCTTGCTGGGCCTGCATTCAGTCAAAAGGAACTCAAAAGAGACCATTGTCTAATTGTCATAATCTTTTCCACGGGCCACGAACTGCATATGGGTAGCATCATAGTTGGAAAGACACTTTTTGTAGATAAAAAGACATGACTGTTGCAATTTAAATCATGGATGCTGCAATCATATGATATTTGCTAAGCTGCCAAACATGTCTAAAATTTAGCAGATACTGTATGGAATTTTCCAACACATGTTGATAGCTGCATCACTAGGGATGCAACTCTTTTCTAATTGTGATTAAAAACTATGATGGCAAACACTGAAAAATATGTGAATTGTATTATTTCTGAGTCAAGTCCAGACATCTTCTATGCTGCATTCTCCCTTCCTATATCTAGACTAATTAAGGAGAATTGGAGGCTGCTTTAAGAAGTATAATGACATGAAGAGTATGTGAGAGAGAGAGAGAGAGAGCACGTGCATACCAAACCCATTTGTCACATACACTAGGTCTAGAGACAGCTGAAAGAAAAATTCTCAGTGTAAGGCTAATGAAAAGTTTTATAGCTTAATGTCTTGAGAAAATTTTTTGAAGGCTTTGTAATTACCTATTAAGCACAATCCCAAAATAAATGGGGCTCTGATATTTATGTAGTATATTTCCTCGCCCTCACCTCTATACCTTCTGTATATTGGAACTGCTACTCTCAGATTAACATCCTGAATGTATAACATCTGGAATGAATCAATTTGGGAAGGTCTATTCTATACTCTCCCAGACTCAATAGTGGTAACATTTCTTTTTTGTTTGTTTTTATTTTATTTTTGTGCTTTTGAGTCACTTTTTTCTCTTGACATCTGGACTGGCAAGGATTCTTTAGTATTAGTAAATATAGGTCAGCCCATACACATGTGGATCTCCTTTTATGTGTAAGAGTATCTTGACTGCTACTATTAGTATGTTCTCTTGCCCAGTTACAGATATTTTTATACATATTATTTATTTATTTATTTATTTATTTATTTATTTATTTCAAGATTAAAAACGTTTGCTTGTTCACATTTTCATCACAATATTAACCTTTGCAATGAGAAGTGGGGAGGAAAGTTCCCAATGCCTCTGCCAAACTGCAGAGGGGAAATGAACAGGATCTGCCAAAATCTTCCCGAAGCCATTTGAAATATTCTTAGCTGGGTTTTTTTACCTTCAGAATTTCCACCTTCCAGGGACCAGTTTTGCAACAATCTGTAATGGTGAAGACTTGCAATCATAACTAGACTAGCGCTGCTGTATCTCTGCTGCAAAACAAGATGTCTGAAAAAAAACATTTCAGAAAGCAATTTTCTCAAGCAGAGAGGAAAAAGAAACAGTGTATTATGGAGAAATGATTGATTGAAATGGCAAGGAATTAAGTTGCATCACAACAGTGTTCTCTAAATTTAATTCCTAAATTTATTTTGTAAGGGGGACTTTTGCACAGATAATAAAGGACTGGCTCATTAGACATGTTCTAAGAAACTTGGACTTGCCTTGCATTACAATGAGCAAAACTACAGCTTTGCTGGATTTGCAACTTGACAGATAAGTTTGGATGGAAACATCTAAGCCTTAACTTCTTTGTGCATACCAGACTAAGACCTCTTTGTTAAAAATGTTTACAACCGCCTTATAATCGTAGCCAATTCCAATTTGGAGTCTGAATGTTAAATTCTTCATTTCTTGGGTGGCACATCTTGGCATGACTGCCTTTCCCAAAGCATGAGACAAAAGCATCATTTCGATCCATTATTTTTAGAATTAGGCTATCAAATGGACTTTCCTTACATCAACAAATGTTCCTAGCATGTAGAATTTTTACTAATTAAAATACACTGCTGAATCATATTTCAGTAGAGGAAATTTCAACATTTGCCTCTTATTTCCTATGTTATGGGGGCAGGGGGAAATGAAGAGGATGTGTATTAAAGCAAATTGCAAAGACTTAACATGGATTGAACAACTGTTCTTTGTTAAGTAGCAGTATTGAGTCCCACCACAAGCAGATTCCAGTCTACAGCTACTTCTGGATATGATCGCAGCCATCACACAACACCAGGTGCAATCTACCAGGATGCATTACAAACTATGAAAAACTCCACACACCCCTCACCCTTGGAAAATAAGCACACCCACACACCCAAGGCACATACGCATAACTTTTATGGTTTTGCAGGGCTTGGTGATGGAAAAAGAAGATGGAAAAAGAAGAACTTTCTGTTGCTGGTAATGTCAAAAAAACAGCCTCTGTCTTCATCTGTTCAGTTGCATCTGATTTTTTAGAGACCATATAGCTTGGTAAAATTAAATGAGCAAAAAGGAGTGGTTTTGCATGAAAGATCTACTTCACAAAGCACAAGAAACTGAAAACTTGGTGAGTGACAATCAAATAGAGATCATAGGAGGTCAGGACAAACGGCATAAATATAAGTAGATGTTAAATTGTGTTGTCAATACAGAGAACAATAGAGAGAATCTGAGGGGATGTCAACTGACCAATTGACCTTAGAACTCTGACCAGCTGCCTTTCTGAGCCAACTAGTCCATCTTTTTTCTTCAGCATTTCTTCTCTTTAGTGCCCAGCAGTGAACACATACTGCAAGTCTTGGAGGTCTCACTGGAACAGACTTAACGGTATGTATTGGATGGGGTGCAGGAGAAAGAAAACCAACGAAAGTTCCTTAATTCAAGAAATCTCTTCATCTCTTTGATTTTTATCCAAGCTATTTCAATGATTTTTGAATATATACAAATCATGAATATTAAGCCGCATACATGACTGCCATGTATTAATTTCTTTAAAAAATGTGTATTTATTTTTTGTAAAACAAAAAAAGGAAAGAATGAACAAGAAAAGGAGAAAAGAAAGAATTGTTTCAGAAATAAAATAATAGTTAGACAAAGCAATTATTGTGGAGTTAGTGCTCGGTATATTGATGATGAGAATATAGCCTTATAAACAAAGTATATAATTTTTACATTACAAGAAAAGAGTTGAATCTCTCAGCTAAATGATGTAATCATTGTTAGGGTTAGGAAAGAAAACTGCTATAAAAAAATTACAGGTAAATATTTAGTTTCTAATTTCCATTTTGCTGTATAATACATAACCCTTTAGACTAGAGCTATTAAATCAATTGTAAAAAGAACTCACGTTTAGCTAAACCTACTTTTTTCTTTCTTGTTAGAATAACCTCCCTTTAACTCAAAGCTCCTCAAAATGATCAAAATGTCCCACCTGACCAATTCATGTCTCCCCCATAAATTGTAAGTCAATATGGGTTCATTGAACAGAGCTATGGAAGTTGATGCAAAAATAACATTATATCTTTACATTTTTATTTTATTCATTGTTCCAGTGATGATTGAAGTTTGGGGAAACTATCCAATGCAGTTTGCAATACAGGTAGTCCTGAACTTAAAACAGTTTGTTAGTGACTATTCAAAATTACAATGGCACAGAAAAAAGTGACTTACGACCATTTTTCACACTTAAGACCATTGCAGCATACCCATGGTCCCATGATCTACATTCAGATGCATGACACCTTACTCACGTCACGTTTACAGTGTCCCAGGTTCATGCAATCCCCTTTTGCGACCTTCTGCCAAGCAAAGTCAACGGGGAAGCCAGATTCATTTAACATCTGGGTTACTAAACTAACAACTGCGGTGATTCACTTAACAAATGTAGCAAGAAAAGTTGTAAAATGGGGGGAAAACTCACTTAATAAATTTCTCACTTAGCAACAACAACTTTGGACTCAATTGTGGCCATACATTGAGGACTAGCTGTACACCTGGAGAGCCAAGTTGGAGAAGGATGCTTTAGAACTGTGTTTTTCAAACTTGGCAACTTTAGGATGTGTGGACTTCAGCTTCCAGAATTCCCCAACCAGCTGTCATGCCCTTGGTAGAGTCGGATTCTGAGGGAGAGGAGGAACAGCGGACAGGGAGTGGAGGTGTGGCTCCAGAGGTTGTGGAGGAGGCTGGGGAAGGGCAGAGGCCAATTGGGCAGTAAGAGGAAGAACCAGGGCCATCCCCTCTTCATCCTAGGACACACAGGGAGGAACGGAGAAGGAAACAACTTGGCTTATGAGAGAGGAAGCGGTCATGATCCCCCTCATTAGTTGCAGCTGGGGAGAATAGTATATAAGAAAGACGGTTACAACACAGTGTTGCCAGAAGCAAAGCATGTTTTATTTTGGGCTGAAGTTATCTTGGTTGTCATCCTTCCAACAGACTGTGCCTTGTTATCTCCTTGAAGTTGGTAATTACTTATCCTGGTCCATTGTGGAATTTCCTTCACTGTAGTTTGTTTTGGGTTTTTTATTTCACGTCTATCTGCTCATTTAAGTTCGGATTGTATTGCTTTCTTTTAAAGACTATTTTTAAGTAAGTTTTATCTCCAACTGAGAATTATTAGAACAGTGGGGCCAAGTTGGAGGCATTAAAGGACATTTATTTACGTTTTGGATTTCGTTACGTTTGTTTTACACTCCGGGTCATCACACCAGCATGCTGGAAATAGAGGTACACAGATCTTTAGAATGCCAAGTTTGAAATGTTCTGCTTTAGAACTTAGAAGGATGTACCTTTGCCTAAAGTGGTATTTGTTTCAGAGGCAGTCAGCCAAGCAGAGAAGCAGCAGCAGCTTTCTGCCCCTTTCTCTTCTAGAGAGAACATCCTTTAGATCAGAACTCAGGACCCTGACATAGAAGGCTAGACTGTAGGATCTGAAGTGTTCATCAGAATGACAAAAACTATGTGGTGCCACTTTAAGGAATGCACATGCAAAAGGGATGAATGGCACTTAACTTGTGCTACTACCATAGTTTTTATCATTGGTTTCCCCTACAGACCTGGGTGCATAAGCATTGGGCTTCTGCAGCTCTTCTCCAGCAGGACCAGCTAATGTCCAGATCCACAGAGATAATGTGGCAAAAGCAAATCTGGACCATTAATACTGGAGCTACAAGCAGGCAGTTTTCCATCTGCAAGTCATCTCAGCTTTACTCACCTTTCTGTAGAAGCCAAGAGGGCATCTTGCCCCCTTGCCATGATTTCCTCACACCCTTCTGTTCTGAAACCAAGGTGCCAAATCGCTCTTCCACAGAAATACAGCCCTCTGCCCCTCTGCTCATGGACTCGGGGAGGGGTGGGAACAAGGAGGGAATAGATCATGCAGATCATTATCCCATTGTTTTCAAGATGCATACAAATCAATCTGTAAAACTTGCTCCATATTTCCCCCCAGTGTTAGTTTACTGGATT